GACACCCGCAGGCGGCGCTCCCGGGTGGGACCGTTCTCTGTGAGGACCTGCAGGCGGTGCTCCTGGGTGGGACCATTCTCTGTGAGGACCCGCAGGTCAGCGGTGAAGTGGGACAGGGCCTGGGCCGGGTGCTCAGAGCTCAGCGCACCCACACCAGCTTCCTCCGGCCCTGCACCCACCACAGCCTCAGTGAGACCCAGTTCCAGGCTTCTGTTGGTCAGGCCTTTCCCTGCCTCCCAGGCCATCCCAGAGCCACTGGCATCTCCATCCTCAGCCTCCTGGGGGGTTCCACAGGGTGGGGGTTCCACATGGGTCTGCAACAGGCAGGCAGCATCGGCCTCCGCCATGTCCCCGAGGCCCACGTGGCTGGCTAGTGCCCCGATGCCGCGGCGGATCTGGGGTCTGTGTCGGGCTCCACAGTGCCAGGGGGCACGCACTCGGGCCAGAGCTTCCTCCAGGCTCTGTTCATGGTGACAGGCTGCAGCTCTGCCCAAACCTGGGCGATGTTGTCCACGGCCGTCATGACGGTATAGCTGCGCCAGAACTCCCGCGTGGAGGGCCGGCCTCCACCAGCCTTCTCCCGGACCAGCTGGCCCAGCGTGCGGCGCAGGTAATGGGCCTTGAAGGCGGCGATGACGCCCTGGTTCATGGGCTGGATCAGGGCCGAGGTGTTCTTGGGCAGGAATTCCACACGCACGTGGGCGGAGAGGCTGCCCAGGTGGGAGGGTGGCAAGGGGCGCTGTCCAGGAGCAGCAGGGCCCGGTGCGGGAGGCCGTGGCTGGCGCAGTAGCTCTCCACCGCAGGGCAGAAGCAGCCGGTGAACCCGTCCTGGAAGATGCTGGGTGTCAGCCAGTCGTTTGGAGCGCCAGACCACAGGCAGGCTGGCCTTGGAGCAGCCCTTGAGGGCGCGCGGGTTCTCGGAGGGGTACAGCAGCAGCGGCTTCAGCCTGAAGTCACCAGCTGTGTGGCCCCCAGCAGCAGGGTCAGGTGGTCCTTAGGGGCCTTGGGCCCGGGCCTGGCTGCCCCCTCCAGCGCCAGCAGCATGCGCTCGGGCAGCCGCTTCCAGAAAAGGCCCGTCTCGTCCACGTTGAAGACTTGCTGCGAGGAGTAGCAGCCCTCCTCCAGGATGCGGCGCAGCACGGAGGGGTAGCAGGCAGCGGCCTGGGCGTCAGCCACCGCCGGCTCATCCGTGAGCAGCACGTTGCGGCGTGCCTTGAAACGGGCAAACCAGCCATTGCTGGCACCAAAGGTCTCAGCCTGAGCGCCATCGCCCTGCTCCTGCCCCGCCCGGTCCCGGATGAGCCGCGTGCTGACTGGCAGGTGCTGCCGCCTCTGCTCCTCGACCCACAGGCTCAGCCGGCGCCCCATCTGCCCCATCACCACACCCGGCAGCGGGTCAGCTGCTCAGCGCTGACGGGCGTCGAGGCCTGAGAATTGGCCCGGATCTTGTCTTTGTTGACACGGATCGAGGCGACTGTGGAGGTGGCCAGCCCCAGAGCCCGGGCGATCTGCGTCAGCTTCTCACCCTCTTCAAACCTGCGAAGCACCTCCAGTTTCACATGCAGGGTGATGGACTTCCTGTCCCGCTGGGCACTGTGGTGGAGGCCAATCCCACCCAGGGGTGCCTTGCCCGACACCTGACGGTGGGGGGTTGTCTTCATCCCGCCTCCGAGCGCCAGGCACCTCGACGAGCTCTGTACCCCTTGCCCCTCCTCAGTAGCTCCCACTGTGCCCACAACGGCAGCCTCTTGACCTCTCTGTAAGAGGGGGACACATAGACATTAATACATGAGCACATGGGAGTCCCACCACTGCCCAGCTTTCCCACGCACGGACACGGAGCACGGAGCCCTGCTCAGAGGCATGCCCGGCCCTTCTGCCCCCACTCCCCACTGCTCAGAGGGCTGCACACTCATTTTCAAGCATTTTTGCATCCAGGAGAGCATGTCACTTACTACTTTTAGCTCACGAGATCAAAACACAGGTGAGACTTCACTCTTCCCCACCCCCAAACCTCCTATAACCACATGGGGAGCCAAGAGCATCCAGAAACCATCAGCACCTCCCAGACACTGATGAGCAGAAGAGCAACCCAGCTCCATGCTTCTCACTCAGACATCGGTCCTCAGTGAGGGAGGAGGAACCAGAACATCTCCCCACGACATCCACATCCTAACCCAGGGGCCTACGAACAAATAACCGTACGCGGCAAGAGGCACTGAGGTGTGATTGTTTATCCTGAGAGGGGAGGGTGCCCTGGGTGAGCCCAATGGGGTCACGGGGTCCTTGTAAGAGGCAGGTTTCGCTCAGAAGGCAGGGTGGGCACTGAAGCCCACAGCCTCCAGCGGAGCCAGTCCTGCCGGAAGCTCGATTTTCGCCCGGAGGAACTAGGAAGATGACAGAGGTGGTTCCAGAAAAATAGGAGGGAAGGAACGAGAGAGTTAAAGAACAAAATATTAAATAAAAACGCAGTGAGGCCCTAGCGGGTTTGGCTCAGTGGATAGAGCATCGGCCTGCAGACTGAAGGGTCCCGGGTTCGATTCTGGTCAAGGGCACATGCCCGGGTTGGGGGCTCGATCCCCAGTAGGGGGTGTGCAGGAGGTAGCCAATACATGATTCTCTCTCATCATGGATGTTTCTCTCTCTCTCTCCTTTCCTCTGAAATCAATAATAATATTATATATATATATTTTTTAAAAAACACACGCAGTCGGATTAGTGCCCTAAAGGACAGCAGGCGGCCCGGGGTGTGTCGTGTCCTGCTTTGTGCCCTACTGGGTGACACAACTCAAACCCTGGGCTCTCTTTTCTCAGGACAGAAAGAATTTGCATCCTATTCACCTTTGCAACGTAGCAGCTACTTCACAGGGTCTGGACTCTGATCAAAGTAGCGGGAAACAGTTGCTTTGCTTAGGGAGTCACACAGGCTCCCGGTCATCTTTGTTCTCTTTGTCAAGTTTTGGGTGAGTCTTCCTCACAAGTCTTCCTCCAACTTTCTCTCTTGTTGCTGTCACCTTCTCTTAGTCTTTGCAAACCTCAGTCCATCTTACTGTGCCTCTGATTTCTGTCTCCTTCTCCCTTCTGGTGTCCTCCTGTGTCCCTGTCTGTCCCTTGACTCTCCATGTCTGCTCTTCTGGTCCCTGTGAATCTACCCCTTTTCCCCCTCTCCCTCCTCTCACTCCCACCCCTTCCTGCTCTCGCTCCCTGTTGCTAATTATTCTGGCCACCGGCCTCCCAGGGCCTGAATCCCCGCCCCGCTGGCCTCTCACCACATTCTCTAGGTCTGAGAGAGCAGAGCCCTTTCCCCGCTGTCTTCTGTCTGTTCAGACTGGAGCCTCTCACCTGCAAACTCTGGGTCCCTCCCTGCCCCCCGTCAGTCACCCCTCACTATCCCCGCTCCCCTCCCCTCTTTATCCCAGTCCCCTCCCTACGCCCTCATTCCTCTTACTCTTGCCTTTCCAACGCCCCGGGGTTGCGCTGGACCAGAGTCGGCTCCACTGGTTACCATGGACACGCAGGGACGCCTACCGCCTGCCAACACGAACGACCGTCGCGATGCGCACGCGCGCAGGGAGGGCCCGGCTGACTACATCTCCCAGGAAGC